GGCTGGTTTTCGGCAGCGCAACCTTTTTTATGTGTGAGAAGCCTGGCCTGTAATTTGGGTAGCCACGGCGACCAGAGGGACTTGTAATAAAACGAGACTCTATTCTGGGATGCTCTGTAATAATGGACGCCACCATCCACTCCTCTTGTTAGAGATGGAAGGATGGATGGAGGGATAGCGATGGATGGACAGATGGATAGATGGCAGTATCACATATGGACAGGCTGAAAGACAGATGAACAGTGGCTGGACAAAGGACGACTGAAATTGGACCAACAGAAGAATAGGTCAAACTAAAAGCAAAAACCTGAATCAACAGTCAGATAGATTCTTGTTGGACAAATAAAAATACTGAATAGATGGACAGATGAACGGACAAATGGTGATAAATGGTGCAATGAATAAACAAACTATACCTAATTACGCCACTCATTCAAGCTCACACTAACTAATTTACCTGTATGCCTTCTCTCAAACGCAATAACCTACCAACACTGATCAATACTTGGCAGGACTTCTGAGTGGCCATTATGTCCTTCAACACTGTTACAAGTCCCTGTGGTTGAATTTCTGCATTCAGACACCTCTCTATAATCTCCGCGCCATGTTAACAGTCACCCATTATGCCAAGGCCATAATTAGGAAATCACATTGGCATATACATCCTGTCATTAGAAGTGTCTATTGCTATTGCATTGTAATTACATTTTAGTAGGTTGTTATTACACCATTTAGAAGCTGTCCATCTTACCTCAATCTCCTCCTTAATTGGTTATGTTGGTCTGTCCCGCCCCTGGGTCCGCCCACCTCTTTGACGGAACATTCCAGTGGTCTAAGCATTTTAAGCTGGAGAGTATTACAACTGAGTCTAATATGCCACAGAATGAAAGAAATGAAGGAGAAAAAAAATGGGCAGAGTGAGAGAGAGAAATTGGTGAAAGAGAGGACTTGGGAAGAGGAGTAAAAAAAAAAAAGGGGGTCGAGACGAAATGAAAGAGGGAAAAAAAAAGGGTGAAAAACACAGTTTTCTTGTTGCATGACAGATTCCCTCCCAGCCAACCAAGGCTTGTCCTTTAATACCCAGAAGCCTTGATGTGGCTTCTCAACGATTGCACATGGGGCAAAGCTGACCACATCGCTGCCATGCTGCTTATTATACTGCATTGCTCACACTCTGCATGTGTGTTTGCATGTGTGTGTGTGTGTGTGTATGTGTGTGAGAGAGAGAGAGAGACTAAGTGCCCATATACAGCAAATGCATACACATGCAAGTGTGCATGTGCTTGTTGGAAAGCAGCATCAGTCATGCAGAGAAGTGTTCAATGAGACTTGCACGTCTTCATTTGTCAACACCCTGGTGATGGATGGGAGAAAGAATACTAGACATAAATGTAAAAATGTGTAGGAGAAATTGGAATGGGAGAGAGGAGACACAAGTGAAGAAATAATACATTTCAAAGCAGTGTTGTTTAAAGAGACAAAAAGGTACAAATTAAAATGACTGTATATGACTTGTCCTCCTCTGATCATCTCTTACATCTCAGTTTGATATGAATAACAATGGGCATTGTGTTGACGTATAGTCATTTAATTTACATAGCACAATCTTACAATCCCAATAAATGGTAGAAATATGGAGGTTAGAATGAGGTCAGTATGTGTAAGGCCAAACTAAAATTCTTAAAATTAATTAGTTCACTTACATAATAAATGTTTCCTTTAATTGGAGGTAATCCCAAGTGCAGAAGGCCTGCGGCAAGGCTGAATGCACTGTATTTCAATGGGAAAATGGGTGATGACCATTTTCATAAGGTTACCAACTTCAGTATGGCATTTCATGCACATACTTATGCTATACAGGCTTAGCCACACAAAAACAAGCCCACTGGATGCACATAAGTTTTCCACCACTGTCAAAAGCAAGAATAGATGGATGAAGGAGAGGAAAATGAAGGATGGAGACTTTGACATGGAGCAAAACATGTGTTCCTTTCTACTGACCGCAAGGACTTCCTCTTTATGACCTTCGTGACCAGCCTCATATACAGCATGCACATACACACACACAAACACACACACACAGTACAACTTTTTTTAAAACTTCCTACAAACTCAGAAAAATCTCATAAAAATCACATATTTGAATGTATATGAAGCAATAATGACATTGTTTTAAAACAAACACAAATAACTTTAGTTAAAAGTTGTCTAGTTATGGCCCTTGAGACATAAAGGCACTAATCAACAGTAATGACATTCAAACCAAATACAGATAAATGTTTTAGGCATTTTTTTTCTTTTTTAAACATTAGATTTCAAAATATATTATAGCATACTCACTTATCTGTTGCTTAATATATGAATTGATACTCACTTCTACTTGTACATGACTGTGTGCAGTAGCTGTGAAGATATCCACATGCAGTAATGTTGTTAACAGTGATAGAGACTAATGTTAACAGTGCAATAGTTTGGCAGCCCATCCATTCATTGTACAATTGACAAGGCAAAGTTTCTTGTAGAGATATTCCTTTTTCTCATGGATAACAATTTCACATGTTTCAGGGGCGACAACACAGGTGCAATAACGATGGCTGAATTCCATGTGGCTGCTTCAGTTTAAGGGTATTGTGCATGCTGGCTCACCGTCACACTGTCATAGCTTATTGGGACACTTGAGTAGCACAAAGATGTTGTTAATGTCATTTGTGACACATATGCTACGATGACAGCTCAAGATGTCTACCGTAAAAAGGGCCTATTATTCACATTGTTACTCAAATTGCAATATACTCAACCTCATCATGTAGTGCTGTGCATACTGAATCGGATTCTCATACTGATGCACTACAGGTGGTTGTGCATCAACATTCTTAGGATTTGCTACCCTCTGCTGTTCAACAGTCAAACTTCAGACAGATTAATCATTTTCTCCAACCAATGGACATACAGTGTAAAGTAAAATAAGTGATTAATTCAAATAAACCAGCAAAGACTTTTCTAGACAACAGACCTGAAAGAGATACATACATTTAAAAGAACAGTCGTATATTTGAAAATCATTGGTAATGCCAATGCACTTGCTATTTTTGAAATGGCCTTTTGGCACAATGCACAATATCCGGTTGATGAGTATCAACAACAGTTATTATTGTCCCCAGACATTTTAGCATGAAAACCATGATTCAGTTTATAATACACACATACCCATCTGAATTATAGTCACTCTGCAGCTTTAGGTCAGAACCTCCAAATATAGACAAGACAGGAAAAACACCAGTGCGCACTCACACACACTGTGCATAAGTTATTGTAGCTTAGGGTTCAAGAACATTGGTCAGAGGGCTCTAAAAAGTTGTCAAATGGCTGATTACAGGCAGCCATGGAGTGCTGGAGGTGTGTTTGCATTTGTGTGTGTCTGCGTGCTCCTGTGTGCGGACAGGAAGTGGTGGTGGCTGGTTTGAGGTTAGTGGCAGGAAAGAATGGCAACTATGCTGTTGCTGTGACTACGGCTGGTCACAGTGCAGGCTTTGGGTTTCCTGACACGCTGCAGCCTGAAACCGCATCTCACCATCACTCCATCCATCCGTCCATCCCTCGTTCATCTGTGTAATTAGTTACTTTATAATTAATCATGAGATTAATTCATCTCACCTACATACCTTTTCTCCCCTTGCATGCATGTCTTTGTCTCTCTTCACCTCTTTCTCTTTTTCATTCATCCCACAACACTCCAACACCCCACTCCATGCCCAGTGGCATCTATATAAAATGCTTCCTTACTAAATGCTGCTCCACCCTTCTCTTTAAACATTAAACGCTGCACAAAAGCGTGACCACAGGAACTAAAAGGCCGTGTTTCTGTGCTGTTTACTAGCCTGAGGCATACCGCATCCCTCTCATTCGAATCTGGGCCCACAACCATCTACAACCAATGAGAGAGGGACCAAATGATATCACCGCATTTAGGAAATTCATCAGTTATAGCACCTTTTTCAGATTTTTGTTTTCCAGCACCATGAAAGCAATTAAGAAGTTGTTATTCCTTAGATTTATAGTTTAATGTCCAACACTTTTTTAATATGTCAAAAACCTTCATAATCTTAATTTCAAAGGATAGCTCACAGCATGTTTGAGCATCAATCAGGATCATTATTTAGGCTGGATAACTTTGTATCACACATCATGCTGTCATCTTTGTAACCATTCTATGGAGTTCTGCAAAATGGATAAAATGTCATCTTTGCCACAGTGGATCAGAATCAGAATCAGAATCAGAATCAGAATCAGAATCAGAATCAGAATCAGAATCCGATTTATTTGTCACTACCATCTGCATTTCAGCATACGTGGAGGCAAAATACCATACTCTGATCACAGATCAGGGTGCAAGTCACATTAAAAAAAAACAACAGAAGACACATTGGACACAAGACACAATACTGGGCACAAGACACAATAACTGAGATGCACAGGATTCCAAAGGAGGGTAATCGTCTCACCAATGAGGGGCACAGCTGCACTGAAACTTTCAAAAACATTCATTCAATTGCTTCAGATGTGAACCAGGTTGCACCATCATCATGTGGCCTAATCATTTGTGTTTTGTAATACACGCACATTAACATAAGGGAATTACAATTTTGTTGATCTTTAAAGAGATTACTTTAAAACTGCATTTCATTGTAATTTCATTACAAATTGAAGATATCATTACTTCAGTTTTGTTACCTCTAACTGCATTGTTGTAGTTTACATGATGTGATGCTGTTTTATTTTATTATTATTATTTATTTTATATGTTTTTAATAATTAGACTACTGTCAGAGATAGTTCTGATATTGTATTGTCTTCACTTTGTCAATAAACATTTATTTTATTTTATTTTATTCGTTCAGTTATTTATGATCTATGTATCAAAAATTACAGTGGGCACTGATCCCTGACCTCAGCCTGAAATGCGCATGCGCAGACGAGAGGAACCGGTCTGCCAGCTCAGCTGACAACAGCAGCACCTCAGCAGTAAAGATGATGGCAGACTCTGGAAGCAGCGAAGAAGTAGCTGTGATCGGTAACACCGACCTCACTTCAACTGAATCAGAGAACAACATTATAAACACGGTCGTAGTTTTTGTTATTCTCTATAGCATACATTTTTAAAGTTTAAAAAGTCTGTTTTTGCTGGTGAAAACTTTTCCAAACGGGCCTAAAGTAATGTTAGCTAGGTGGAGTTTGTGACATATCGAACCACGGAGACTTTTCCACTTACATTTTCAAAAAGCTGTAGGATTTTCTGAACCGTTAACTAGCGTCGAAACTAGGTTTAATCACTAATTCTGCAAGGTAACGTTAAAGTTACTGAGTGAGCTAAAGTTGATTTTGCTAACTGGTTCGAAGCTACTTTGTAAACTTTACTCCTGGCATTAGCTTGTTAGCTAGCAAGTCTGAACGCTAAAGTTTTGTTTACTTAAAAGTAGCCTCTTTCCTGTTGGTGTCCCCCGAGTTTACTCTTAATAATCGTGGTTTCTAGTTAGAGGAAACGTTTACGAGGAGAAAACCGTTGATTTTCAGTTCTATGTTGGTGGTAACGTTAACTCGTGTAATCTTGTGACCTGCACACGCCTTTCACAACCCTGCGTATAGAAGCACGGTGTTATATTATCTTTAGAAGCAAAACAACACTCTGCCCCTCTGTGATCATACGTTTTCATGCTTGTTTGTCTGTATAGAATTAAAAACCCTGCACACACCCATCTATTCACTTGACTTTTTATTTTTTCTGATGTTCCCTCGTATACTTGTTGCATACCATATTTTACTTTCCGTTTTATTTGTTGGCTCATTTCCTCATCCTTACTTATAATTTTCTGGTCTTTTCTGTGCAGATGGTAGAAAAAGGGACATCTCTGTTGAGAAAAATGGAGATAAACGTGGCAGAGGCAGAAAAGAGAACAGGGAAGAACACGGTTAACATGCAGGAAACCTACACTGTCTACCTCATAGAAACACGGTAGGTGACACAGCATTCTTACATTAGTGTTACAGGATATGCAAACAGCTTTGAATTGTGGTGCAACAGGGTAACAAGAAGAGTGGAGTGGGACCTTTTACACATACACTTCATCAATATTAGAAGCTCAGATATACTTTATCTTGCACAATTGTAAAAGTAATTAAGACAAATATTTCCTTGAATAGGTGCAAAACAAGAATAAAACCAAAAAAAAATTAGCCTCATGGCTTGACAATATTTTAAACCATAAGAAAATATAAAATAGTTAAGTGCATGAATAAGTGCAGCTTTCATATTTATGTTCCTTAATGTTGCATAGACCAATTTTTGTTTTTTGGTGGCCAAAGTGCTTGCCACATGCCACACACACCATATTCAATTAAACCTGATTCAATGAAACAAGGTCAACCAGAATCATTTGTACAATGCCTATGAAATGAATTTCCTGCCCAACTCAGAAAAAGCCACTGGAAATTTCAAAGTTAGATGTAATGTGTCGCAGTCTTTGTGTCTCAAATTGCCGTGAGCAAGAACTGTAGCTCAAACACCTAAAATACTGTTTATTCCTCTCTCTGCAGGCCAGCGGAAACTGTCCCGGAGGGAGGTACACCAGCTGCACCTGACACTTTGTGGAGACGCTATAGTGAGTTTGAATTGCTCAGAACTTACCTGCTGGTCACTTACCCCTACATCATCATCCCGCCACTACCAGAGAAAAGGGTGAGTGACACATAAGTGGATGGAGAAATGTAACTAATAAATAAAATGGAGTCTGTGTAATGAATTTGTGGCCATACTTAATCCCTGTGATTGATTACAGGACTTGAAAGTTTGTAAAATAACAAATTAACCTTAGCTCCTTCCTAGAAGAAGATGTTACTCGCTCTGATTTTTAAGGTGTTCTTTGCTCTCTCCTCCTGAATTGTGTCTCTTGTAGGCAGAGTTTGTGTGGCACAAGCTGTCAGCAGACAACCTTGACCCAGACTTTGTTGAGCGACGGAGAGTCGGCCTGGAAAACTTCCTGTTGCGGGTTGCATCACATTCTGTACTTTCGAATGACGAAATATTCTACCGCTTTCTCACAGAGGTTAGCATCAGCAGCAGAAGTCTGTTGTCATACATATGTACAATCAGCACATTACAGTTTAACTACGTCAGTGTTAAGATGTTGCTACAGAATACAGATGAAGAAAAAAAAATATGAAACAGCATTCCCAATCAGAAGTCATATCACAGTGCAATGAGAAAATGGAGGTTGAATATTTTTATGCCGAAGGTCTTTTGCTATGACATCCCTTGCCCCACCCACACAGTGATCACATGGAAAAAAATTCAGAAAGCCTTTACTTTACTTTTTGTCACAGAGCTGTTACATGCACCCATACCAGTTCTTATACCTACTACCACATAATGACAATTTTTCTGTATTCATCTGTCTGTCAGAAGCTGAGAATGGGTAAATTTTGAATTGCTGAAAAATCCTTTTGTACAGAATCTTGTCATTTGGTACATCATGAAACTGGCCCTATGGATTTGTATCTCAGCTTCTCCCTGTAGTCTCTAGCAACATACTAACACCACTGCAGGGCCTTTTTTTTGCTTTGTTGCAGTGCAGTTGTCAGCTGTTTTTTGGACAGTGTAGCTGACAATCCTCTGCAGTGTTTCCCATACATTGATTTATTTGGTGGCCTGCCACATTATCAACATTGACCGCCACGCCACATATTGATTTTTTTTATTTTATTTTTTTTACTATAACAAATTGGTAAAATTTATTTCATTGTAGAGCTGCACACAGTACATTGATTCACTTAGCCCATCCTTGCACTGCTGTCTCTCTCTCGCTCACAACACCTTCTGTCATTGTTGGTGTGACCATTGCAAGCACGGGTAGAGATTCTGCCGCATCAGTGGGCCGGTGTTTTTACCTTCCCTGTTTGTCTCATTACCGGCCCTCTCTGTGTGTCTTTTATTTGGGGGTGCGCAGAGCATGCTGCGTACATGTGCTGGGACTCGGTTTACTGGCCAATTACAATATGTAATCAAACTTCAGTGAGCTGAGAGCTGTTATTTGTTTGACTCAACATGAAGCAATGGAGCTGTATGTATTGTTCAGTTATTTATTTGTCAGCTACTACCACAAATAGAATCTAGAAACACTGATCTATCAATCATCTGTCTTTAGGAGAAGGGATGGAGGGAGATGGTTTTGGAGACGGGTTTTCAAGACAAGGTAATTGTATCTAATTGTTTTCAAACAGCCATTATGTTCATCTTGCTGAATTGCTTGACTGAGAATTTTGTTGTCAACTGGACCAACAGTTTTAGTGTTTTACTTGCATATCTGTTTTATGATAGGCAAGTCATATCATCATGGATCATATCAAAAGCACCTCATCATAGATTTACCTGTGTGCTGTTTATAAAATAACTAAAATAATAAATGAGCCCAACTTAACTTGAATGTGAATTTCTGTCTGTTCTCTACCAGGCTGACTCCAGGCTAAAGTCTCTGAGTGCCATGTTCAGAGTCAAGAACCCTGACAAGTAGGTGTAAAACAGACATAGGTGAAATGCTTTGATTCAGTTCAACACTGTTTGAGTGACGATCTGTTTGTTGTGTTCTCCAGGCGATTCACAGCATTGAAACACTACAGTGATGAACTGAACACTGTGATCTCTCAGTTACTCAGGGTGCGGGCGGTGAGTTTTGGCATGCACAAACGCACACACCTATATTTAACTGTTAGGTTAGGTTTGGACATTGGTTTACATTTTTTTTGCATATTGGCTTATATAGCATGAGTTGTCTGCAAATGAGTTTGAAGCTGCATCAGGCTGCTGTGTGAGTTGAAGTCAACACTTGAAAGCCTTTGACATTAAAAGAAACTCATTTAAGTCAATGTTAATAATAAATATATCAACTAAAGCATTTTAAATAGGGGGATCATTTGAAGTAGGAAACAGTGATTATAAGGCTTGTTTTGATTGTCTTTTTTTCTAGAGAGTAGCAGACAGGATGTATGGAGTTTACAAGGTCCACGGTAACTACGGCAGAGTCTTTAGGTGAGAAACACTTGTTCTGTTGTTACTGCATTCTTTCTACATAAAGAAAATAAAAGTTTTGCCCCAAAAGATGGTGCTACATATAAATCAAAACCGAGCATTAACAATCCACAAGTTAAAAAATCAAAAGACATTTTGTGCACATTCTGTATCCAGCTACCTTTGCTTTTCGATTACTTTTAACAAAACCTCTTAGGCTGAATACACTGAATAGAGAGAATTCAAGTAAAGTACCCCTGATTTGTTGTGTCTTCAGTGAGTGGAGTGCTATAGAAAAAGAGATGGGAGACGGACTACAGAGTGCTGGCCACCACATGGACACGTAAGTAATAGACAATAGATACACTCCAACTAGTGTACCCTCTCACACTCACAACTAACACTTAGATGTGTTTATTTAAGTAGTAAAAGACATTCACACACACTCACGCATACTGTTTTTTTTATGGCACTTGTTCACTTGTGAATGTGGCTTTGTGTGTATGCGCACAGGTATGCTGCATCAATAGATGACATTCTAGAGGAAGAAGAGCACTATGCAGACCAACTGAAAGAATACCTCTTCTACACTGATGCTGTCAGGTAAGTGAGTGTGGAGAGAGAGACACATACTGTAGGTGTGTCGGGCCAAACAAGTAACTGTCATGCAATGTAAGTGATTTTAGTAAACGCTCCTATTGGGATTTACAGACAATCAGAATGAGTTGATTCTTTATGGTCATATTGGCTTTTGAGGTCAACACACTTTGTTGCTATTTGGTTTGAAGAATTCTTAACATATCTGTTTAAGTGGGAATACCATTAAGGTGTTATACATAAGAGTGTAAGGAGTGTAGTTGATTGTTTCTTATGTAGCTCCCTGCGGCTTTTAAGGTCAGGTTCAATTTACATCAGGCTCAGGAGGAAGTAAATGCTTCTTTGTCCATAATCTGATCAACAAATAAAGGATATGTTTCCCCTTGGTCAAGGACGGAAAGCTTTCCCCACTTTTATCTTACACCTGTATGTTTCCTTGATCAGCTTGAGATCAGCTATGTCTCAGAATATTAGTGGCAGAAGAAGCAATTTTAAGTTTGATGGTTTGTTTTTGTTTGTTTTTTAATGTTGATTGTTGTGTGTGTATTAAGGTCTGTATGTAGGAAACATGAGTTGATCCAGTATGAGTTGGAGATGGCAGCTCAGGACCTCGCCCATAAGAAACAACAGAAAGAAGAGCTGGCCACTGGGGTAACGCACACTGGCTTTTTATCTCTCACTTTCCCCTACACTTCCTGGCCAACTACCCGGGTGGCATATACACACAATGTCCGTGTCAAATCAAGTGTATAAATTGGGCATGATTCCTTTATATCAAAAGAATTTGACATTTTTAAAAACATTTTTGTGATCCAGTTTGATGAAAACACCAACAATAATGGAATACTGTGTATGTATACTGTGCTGGATTTTAATTTGTGCCTCTGTCTATGTGTGTGTAGACAGTGCGAGTCTTTTCTCTGAAGGGGATGACCAGTAAACTATTCGGCCAGGAGAGCCAGGAGCAGAGGGAGAGCAGGTTGGCAGCCCTGGAGCAGAGTATACAGGAGGGAGAAGAGGCTGTCAAGGAGAAGAACACAGAGTGCCAGTAAGTTCAAAATGAATTCATTAATTCTCATCTTATAAATTTCGCTCACTGTCTGTCACAGATGTCTGTTCCTCCTTCTATCTTCTGTATGTACATATATGATCTGTTCGATGGTCAGATAGTTAGCCCCTTCATTTGTAACATGCATTAAGGGGGATGAATCAAATCATCGTCTTCCCTCCATACCTCCTTCTCTGATGATGGCATGTTTGTTTGTGATTGTGTCTTCAGAGAGTTTGTGCGAACAGCCTGGGAAGACATTGAACGTTTTAAAGAGCAGAAAGACAAGGATTTGCGTGAAGCCCTTATCAGCTACGCCATTATGCAGATCAGCATGTGTAAGAAGGTATAGAAAGTGTTTTTTCTCCTCCACAGTTTGTTTGTTTTTGTGTATCAAATATATTGATGTCGATTATTCATCAGTTCCTCTCCTCATCTGTCATTTCCTGTTACTCTTTCAGGGAATCCAGGTGTGGTCCAACGCCAAGGAGTGTTTCAACAAAATGTGAGCCACTTTTCCAGCCAATCACACTTCGCACCAAAACAATAATCAATCAGATTATACAGACTGGGAGCATCAGCCAGTCATACTGCAGTCTTATGGGAGTGGACCATGGGAGCCCACATACTGCTTTCTCTTTGTTTGCTGCGTAAATTGAAGCTACTGAGAATAATTCTGTCTCCTTTTCTCTCTCACACACATGCACACACACATTTATTTCGACGAAAGTACCAAGTCAGAGTCATTTAGTGAGACCATTCCTTTTAAATCCAAGTGCCTTAACAGCACCACCTTTACATTCTGCTGATGTTACCTTCAAACTGCAGCCCCCTCCAAATTTTCAATGCTCAGCCTTAGTTGCACAGCTGACAGCATATCCAAGAGGATAATTCTGCATGAATAATGCTTGATAGTTACCTGTTGGGAATAGCTGTTCAGTGTATTTCAGTTGTAACCCCTCTCTATTTCTCACCCTGAAAAAAAAGTTTACACAGCAGAGTGCTACATAATATTTAGTCACGAACGGCTGCACATTTTAGCCAGTGGTTCATTAGACTCATTTTAGAATTACATCTTTCAAAGAAATTCAAAGAAACTGTGGTATGTGCTTTTCCATATTTATTTTAGGTAGGATTTTCACACAAATTAAACTGCAGTTAGATGTCTTGAAGAATCAAAATAAAACTTCTTGTTATAGGTAGCAATATTGAACAGCATCATGATAACATTGCGGCTAATTTTGCACTTTTAAACTTATTAATTGTCACCGCACCAAAGCTTTTACTTTGATAATTGGTCAGAAATTCATATTGTCTAAATGCAAGAGCATCTTTAAACTGGGACATTTTGTAGCGACAGTTCCCTGGAGTTATCCTGAAAAATGTTGCCAGAGATTTGCCTCAGACTTTTTCACAGCCTCTAATAATAAATGTAATCATTTGAAATTCTACTTAATAAAAATGTCAGGTGTAAATTAATTTATTTTTTTTTAAATGCAGTAAATCAAACTGTATGGCAAAGAAACACGGACCATACTTCAGAAAGCCACTACACATTCACATTTCCTTATTTCCTTACATTTTATGTACATTCGTGATGAAGTCAGTCTTCATGCTGTTATTGATTGAAAGCCGACCAAAGTGCTTATGACCAAGTACCCGTGTAGTACAGATCATAGGTGGGAAGAAGAAGAAGGGGAGATTAACAAGGTTGGGGAATTTTTTTTTTTTCTTTTTTGGTGCCAAAAACATACGCCATTTTGAAGTGCAGCCGGGAAGGCCTCATACTGTTTTGATTACAGTGGGTTTGTTTTTCTAGGAGATTTTTTGAAAGACTGAAGCACGGCAACCCCACAAACCTCCTTGATCTACCAGGTGCAACCATAAACGTTAAAAGCGACACATACAGATCAATAGTTGAGCCTTTTCTTTGCTGTCAAGCTTTATAGCCTTAATACAAACATTGGTTTTGTACAACAGGGGAAGGACAAAAAAAAGTTGCTGTTGACCTTCTCTGCCTCATCGCTTTTTCTGACATTAAGTCACTGCAATAAATAACGGAGCAGAGTTCCAGGCATGCCTCGGGTCAATGTTTATGACCAGTATTGGCCAGAATGTGGAAACCTTTCAGTACAGATATATTAGATCCTCACAATCTGTCTTAATGCATATACTATAGATATACAACACATATGCTCGTTTCGCTTCCTTTAAGATATCTGTCTGAGGTGGAAACTTTGGTGCAAAGTTGCTCTAACATCTGGAAGTTAGGCTGAGATTCTTTCCCATCAGCAAGTCCTATTTCTTTTCAAAATAAGCATAATCAGTTCATTGAAATAATCCCAAATCGAGGCTTTACGTATGTTTTTATAATAAACATGTTATTTGAGAGATTGTTTTTATGTTTCTGTATTCACTGTGCTAAGACACTAATAAACATATTCCTTTTTTTTTAACTATTTTGTTGCATTTGTATGCGAAATAATGTACAAAGGAGTCAAAGATGACACTGAAAAAGTTGGCCTGATGTAACACTGCTGGTTTTACTCCATATTTACAAATGACTAAGCTCAGATACTTTATGATTATTCATATGAAACTCTGTTTTTGGTGGTTACATTACATTTTGTTTCTCTTTGGGAGTGAAAAGTTAAGAAAAACTGGCTTTTTATTGTGCTCATTCTAAAGGTTAAAATGCAGTGTTTCAAAATAACACAGCTTTTACTCCTGTGTTATGATTGTCTTATTTTTCCATGACACCTGTGTGAAAATCAGATGGGTGTATCTATGTTTTTACACTCGTCATGATGCCATGGCCAATGTGGCGTATATACATCTAGTCTTACCATGCATAAATTATCAAGTCATACAGGGATAGTGTTTTTTCTTTGTTTTACTTGTCCTATAGTAGATACATCAACTGTTGTAAATCATCATCATCCATAAAACATGAATAATGCTTAAGTAAGATTATGTAAAAATGACATAATTGTTTTACTAAATTTTAGGTGTGATGGGGGGGATATTTTGATGTATGGTGTTGGGTACAGTGGTAGGTCCATTTTCAGCCAAAATAGGAAAAAAAATCACACTTATTTAATTACTTCTGTGCTCTGTTTGATATAAAAATGTTCAGTTTATGGCTAATGTACATTATAACGTACAAAAAGGATGAGATGGAGCCTAAAGATGATAATCTTGTAGAAATACGGGACCTAACCTAAGGAAATTTGCCCCATGGTGGTTTGAGTGCAATGATAGCTGGAACTGTGAAAATGGCTTTTAACATTTGTCCACTGCAGCTCTCAGAAGAGGTTAGAACCTTCGGTGAGTATTGGAATTTGAACGCATCATGTAAATTGATTGATGACAGGCGTAAACTATGAGATTATGAATGAATGGCGCCACCTGCCGATCCATACCAGTAAAAACGTTTCAATTTGGCACAGGAGCGACTTTAAAACCGCGAAAAGTAAAGGAGAGGAGTCAAGAGGATAGGAAAGAGAAATGCTCTTTTCAGATCCACCTAGTGGTTGGTTTGCATGAGGTCATGTGGTTTTCTCAAATAGAAACCTAACATTAATTTAACATTAAAACAGACCAAAGCCTCACATCTCAGTGTTCTCTTCAGAAACTCGATATTTACAAGTAAATTATAGGCTTATTAGACTGTAAAGAAGTAGTATAGACTACCTAAATCATAGCGGTTTTATAACTTTATATGGACGTGTTTTATAGGTCTAGTCATGCTGATAGGGGAGATGACGTTAAAAAGTCTATGAAGACCGCATGCAAGGTATTCAATTAAATCCTCTTAGGAATCTGGTTATTAAAATGACAGGGACTCAGCCGCTTCCAGTTAAGGACAAGTTAAAACCCCAACATATACATTCCCTATTGCTTAACTCACAGCTCGTGCTCCTGGTAACAAAAAGGACGACGACTTGAACGAAAGAATATGTTTCTGCATAATAATGTGTTTTCTCGCGCTAAGCAGGTTTGATAAAGACGAGTAACAGTCCAAATTGATGATTGGCAAACCCACTAGTGATTAAATGAATGCCTTAACAGCACCGTACCCAGTCCTGCCGTCTCCCTGACTGCCTTATTTGAGGAAAGAGACCCGCCCACCTTAATAAAGAGTGGACCTTCTCTCCTCCAATTCAGACAAAAGGAGAGGACGACAGATCCGCGGCGGCGCGCACTGAGCCGAGCATCTAAAGCACCTTGGAGACGCCACTGGTCTGATCCGACGCGCAAGAACGCACCGGCACACCGACACACACGCCCTCCAGATCCACCTGAAACCTCCAAGCCGGTTAATTGTCCAGTTTGAAGGCCGTGGAAAGCGAGACTGAACCCCGGTTCATTTGCAGCCAGAACACCGTGTTCCCATGATGTCATACCTGTGGATTCTGCTATTAGGAAGCCTGCTGGCTACAAGCGCCAAGGCACAAGGTAATGATTTATTTCCAATTAACTCAGCCCAACCCTTTATTTCTGTTCTTTGCATGTACATCGCATATATATATATATCTATCTGTCTATCTGTCTATATATCTATCTTTACATCCATCTATCTATCTATCTATCTATCTATATATCTATCTCTGTCTATCTCTGTCTGTATGTCTGTCTGTCTGTCTGTCTGTCTGTCTAGTTGTGTGTTGGTCATCAGTCTCCATTTCTCTCTGCACTTTTACATCCCTCTGGCGCTCACCTATCTTTCTCTCATTCTGTCGTTTCTCGCCTCATCCTCAGCCAGTCTTCCACATTACTCGTCCATGTATGTGTATGTGTATGTGTGTGCGTGCGTGCGCGCGCGTGTGTGAATGCTATTGCCAGTGTCTTTTGCCAGTCTGTCTGCCTTCCTGTTGGCACGCCAATTCAATTTACCTCTAGGTGTATTCTGCTTGTTTTAATCTGTTCTGACTGAGTGAGTTTCAGATAAAGCTCTGCATTCTTCATCCCGCCCAGACATTATCACTGAAATAGGTGTGCCATGTAATGTGGCCATATCTTTTTGGACATGAGTTTTGGCCCACAGGGGTGTGGTGGACCCATTGTCCTTACATAAGTAATTCTCTTTTTATCTTTCATCTTTCATCCCTCTTTTCTCCTCGGTCTATATATTTGATCCTTGTTGCATTTTGTTTCTCTATATCTCCCATTCTTTTTTTTGTTTTTTTGCTCCCTCCTCTCCCTCTTCCTTCGTCTTCAGCTGGCCCATGGGCCCCTGCCCTTCCCCGCGGCACATGCAATGGTTTCAGATTGTTCGAATGCGCAATAAAACTGAGACAGTGAGACCAACATGGACACTTGCAAAAATTAGAGGCAAAGTAGGGGAGATGCTGGAGAATGATAAAAGAGAAATGTTGCATGCAACTGTGAGAGATACAAGGAAGAAACTAGTGTGAGAGATAGTCAGAGTAACAGCAGGCCTCTTAATCATTATGCAAACAAAAATTCAGTTGAACGTTGGTGTGCTTGGATGGGATCTGGCACAATCTCACTCTGCCGGTTCCCTTTTTCTAACCAGAAGAACCACCAGAGACAAACCTCTCTCTCTCGCACACACACGCACACAAACACACACACACACACACACACACACACACACACACACACACACACACACACACATACACACACACGTGTTCCTTCCTCTGTCTTTCTCTATTCCTCACACACTTTTTCTCTAATTGCTCAACTGTAAAGCTCAGAGTAAACCCAGTGAATGTTGGTGTGCTGAGTTACAGGAAATCTCAGTGGGTGTGTTTGCTCACTTGCATTTGTGTGTGTGTGTGTGTCTGTGTGTGTGTGTGTGTTCATAGTCACACTGAAAAAGATAGGGGTGCTAGGTCAGTTGCGTGTGCGCACCTCATGTATGGTGTGTGTAAGTTATAGAAGTAAAGGATAGGGAGTGTCCCAGTAACTAGATCCAGCTCCAGCTGTAGACAACACCCAACAACACATCTAGTTTCAGCGCCTTCCTCTCCTCCAGGGCCCTCAGCATCTGTGTGTGTGTGTGTGTGTGTGTGTGTACGCGTGTGTGTGTGTGTGTGTGTGTGTGTGTGTGTGTGTGTGTGTGTGTGTGTGTGTGTGTGTGAGGGAGTGTGTGGGTGGGTTGGTGGGTGTGGGTTATAACTTTAATGTACAGAACATGTGGGAGTATGAGAGTGCTTCATTAATGTGAGTGTACACATAAGTTATAAAGCGCGTGTGTGTTAGAGGAAGATGAAAGACAAAAAGGGCTGTGTGATGTGTGCCAGGTGTGTGTATAATATGTGTGTGCAGGCTTGTCTGTGTTTACACCTTCAACTGCCATCACATAAATCGCTCTTTTGGTGGATAAGTGAATAACACACACACACACACACACACACACACAGACACACACGCGCTCTCTCTCTCTCTCTCTCTCTCTCTCTCTCTCTCTCTCTCTCTCTCTCTCTGGTTTCCATGGGGGCAGTTTTAAGGTGTGCATGATTGGGGTAAACAACACACTGTCTGTCCCACAAACACACAATAGAACCATACCTGACAGAACAATGTGGTGTGGAGGTGTTGTTTTACACCTGACACACATGCACGGACAGATTCTAGTGTACTATTACAGGGAAAGGCTTGGTTATTGGTTACGCACACATGCATCTACACACATTATTATTAATTCAACAATACACAACCGGCGATCTCACACAGTCTCACGGCCAGAGCTCAGAAGAGTCAGAAAATGAAGTCCCTCTCTCTTTGGCAGTAATAACATCCCTCAGACTCCAATTTATGTAATGAGGAGTGTTCAGTGATGTGCATTACACTACTGAAGGGGCATTTACTTATTTACCCTCGTGTCATTTCCAAAACAAAAAGGTGAATATTTTTTTATTTTCAGGCTTGGCAAGATATCAAGTGCCTAAGTAAACAGTTCCATCACATGTCACCTTTTGAATATCAAAACAGTGGCGCCAGCATCGAGCACCACTCCAGCCCTACAACGTCCATGAAGTGTGTGAAACCTGATATACTGTACATAACACTTAAAGCGCGGCCTTGGTGCTGTATTCACTTTCGTCATAGTAGCTCACCAACATGATGTAACTTGCCGAGGGTGGTTGCTCATTTAACACAAAATATAAATTGTTCATAAGAAGCAGAAATTGCCACAAAGGTTGAAATGATTTACTATGTGTGGGTCTTCGTTTTGATCACAACTGGTGCCATGAACTCAGATTTTACCTTTTGCCTGAACAAATTTAGTATCTGTCAGAAGAGATGTCTTTGTTTTGTTTTTTTAAAGCATGTTCATGCATGCAGAACACCCACTTTGACAAAAGCCGATGCCCATATTTGTTGTGTATTCCAGGCGATGTCACAATCTCATTTGCTGAACTGAAAAGAACAGGGAAAATAATTTGATGGTATCTTATAAAGGGTGTTTTCAATGTTCCAGGGAAAAGTCCAATTGTTTTCAATCACAGAAACATTTTCCTTTGACAGATTAAATCTTCACTCTGCTTGACATTCAATAAGGGGAAAAATTCTTGCTGAACTCTTAAATAAAGTGTCACTTTTGTACCGTGCGTTTTGGTGTAGATCCCATTACACCACAAAGATGTTTCCTGTTTGTTACCAGCCGCTCTTCACTTCAAGTTCCATATAAAGCAGAAAGGACCATTACGCTCAATAAGCAAAGTTTTAGGTCTTAGAGGATGTTTGTGTCATCATGCTCGCTGTCTTCTTCTCACACATACACCAAGAAGAATGGTGAAGTTGAAATTAGCTAGAATAAAGCAATAGTGTGGCATTTTGGGAAAGTTTCTATCTGAGAGTTATATAAGAAGATTGATACCACTCTCATATCTCAGCACTGAATTTAAAGCTACAACCAGCAGGCGATTATCTTAGCTTAGCCTTTGCGCTAAGTTAAGATAACTGGCTGCTGGCTGTAGCGTCATGTTTGCTGTACAGACATGAGAGTTTTATCAGTCTTCTTATCTAATTCTTAGTAAGAACGCAAATAAGCACATTTCCCAAAATGTCAAACTATTTCTTTAATAGAGTAGTAACTTTTTTGGCTATGTACTTGTCTTTTAGGTCCAGTCGCAAACTGTTGTCTCCGTCAGATGATTTGATTCATATGAAAGACAGAAAGATGTCTGTTTATCGATCTATCAAACCACTTGACTAAGTCTTAAAAAGAACACTGTAACTAAAAAGTTTTATGGTTTCCCACATGTGTGAACTGGTCTGACTTAAAAGCAGTTTCCTCTGGGGACAGTTTCCTCAGTTTAACACTGCACATGCTGTACAGTCGCATACAATAGCGTGCGGCCATGTCAGAGACACACAGATGACTCATCAGCCTCAAGGGAAACCAGTGGCAGAGAAACAGAGGGAGTCTGGGAGAGAGAAAGAGAGGAGAGGAAAGACGAGAGAGAGACTTAAAAGACAAAAAAGAAAGGAAGGGGGTGGGGGGGTTTGGATGTGCAACCATTTATTTCACTGCTACACTAACACAAAACAGGACACTACTTACTCTGTGTGAGTGAAAGTGAACTTACACAGGCACATGGACTTAACGTGTGTGTGAACATGTGGTTGTTTGTACGTTTGGACTGGAAGGGGAGGAGAAGGTGTTTTATAAGTTTGTAAGCATGTGTGTGTGCGTGTGTGTGCGTGTGTGTGTGTGTGTGTGTGTGTGTGTGTGTGTGTGTGTGTGTGTGTGTGTGTGTTGGTGGATGTGGGGGTGGGGTGTTTGTAGCGGAGGTTATTAGAGGAGGAAGTGGCAAACTGATAGATGGGAACAGAATGTTCTATGGAGTGGCAACAGAAAGACAGAGAAGTTACATGAGAATCTCATACCTCACACACACACACACACACACACATGCACGTAAGCACAATGCCATGAGAAATTTGTCCACTCATTTCCAGTGGGAGTGAAAACTTAAGCCTAAAGTACAAACGCACACATCTGCACACAACTGAACACCTGGTCTGACAAGTCAACAAAAAGCGTCAGCAACAGGTCTTTGCACTGCACAAGGTTTCATTTTGTCTGTTTTAACACACCTTTTCAGTCCACTGGTGTGACACATCAGCTGGCATCTGATGTTATTTCCACCTCATTATCTTTAATGGCGTGCAGGAGTACATCTTTGATGAAGACAGCGAATTCCAAGGAGGGAGTCAAGATAGTGAAACAAAAACACCCTGTACATACATGCAGTTGCAGTCACACATGCAGTCCTGTTCATTAAACTCTGATTGCTGTTTCAACTTGAAATAGATCACTGTGGGCACTGATTAATGTTTGACTTAGATGCTGCTGAGGTGGTGCAGTGAAAAAAACAGGGAGCGAGAGAAATCAAGCGCGCTTGTTTTTGCTGCTGCGTCGGTCACTGTGTCTGCATGTCTGATGTTCATATTCCAGTGCATGTAGTTTGTATTGAGCCATACTCTGTGTATATGGATTTTTTTTTCTGGTATATGAATGTGTGTGTGTGTGTGTGTGTGTGTGTGTGTGTGTGTGTGTGTGTGTGTGTGTGTGTGTGTGTGTGTGTGTGTGTGTGTGTGTGTGAGCCCAGGTGTCACCAGTTCTGCACACTTCTAGAGAATTTACGGTGTGATGGAAATACTTCAAATGTGTTCATGCCGCTTTCCCTCAGGGAATCAGTGACTCTGATACGATCTCATTTGGCAAATGCAGCGATCCTTCATTGGAAATTTACTTGGCAATGAACAACTGCTAAAATAGATATATGAGTACATTAAGGAAGAGCGTTATGGTGCTGAGCAGCAACGTCCTGATACTTTTTTTTATGTTATTTCTTTCTGTTTCTTGTGTTGGCAGCATTTTGGCACCTGTGCCACCTTCCTGTGCATTTCTTCCCCACTTTTTTAAGCTATCTTATTACAGTTTTGCCAGCTTGAAGGACAGCCTCACTCATACCATAATTTGTAGACAGCTATATCTCTTAGTTAATGGTTGGTACTTGTATTTGGAAAAAAAAAGGCACTATCCCAGCCAACCAGTATCAGGGTGCTGCTGAAATCAGCAGAGCAGAGGATGACCAAGTCAGAGCACAGTTTGCTGTTTCAGCTTCTCACATTCAAAAGGGGAATGTCACAGCACCGGCTCAAACACACACACACACACACACCATGGCCATCTCACTCACAGAATGACAAAGACATGCTCTTTGTATTTTCTCATTAGCAAAGAGTTGCGATGCCAGTGCTGAGGTCGAGACTTCATATGATGTTGAGGCAGGTCAGACTTGATCGATGTGTCTGTCATCTAGTTGTGGCTAAAGCGTTAACATCAGGCACCAATTAGGCCAGGGTGTGGTTTGTGTGTGTTTGTGTGTGTGTGTGTGTGTGTGTGTGTGTGTGTGTGTGTGTGTGTGTGTGTGTGTGTGTGTGTGTGTGTGTGTGTGTGTGTGTGTGTGTGTGTCATGTTGCTGTCATGAGAATGTGTTGAATGCACAACATCTTGACAACCATTTTAGACAGATGATTTTAATGATTTTAAATGACAACAGATGGATCGAGGCGTGCAGTTTTTAATCACCAATGGTTACACCAATCACCACCAGTCTTCAGGTTTTATTCGTTCTACTTTAGATTTGATTCATAATATTTGTGCTTTTTTTTTTTGCTTATGAACAGTGGACAACACAAAATATTGGACAGTGGAATGAATTTTAGGGATGTAGTCAAGCTGCAGAACTTCAAACACAGAAGGAACCTCCTTTGAGAGGGATTCTGGCTTGCCATGGCTGCCTCCTTTCTTCTTTTCAAAAAGAAAACAATAGTTGCACAGGCCTCTGTCAGTTGTGTGATGTTCACTGAAGCACCAGGGTTTCAGGACAGCCTTTTATTTTTTTTTTTCTCCCCCACTTTTTGAAATTGATATGTCCCAGTGGTCAGTGCTTCACTTGATGTGTGCTCTCTTTTTTCATTCTTCTGTTACTTTCTTCCCTCACACTTCTCTGTGTAGATGATCAAGTCCCAGCAGAAGAGGAGAAAGCAGCTCCTGACGCCCCGGCCCCTGCAACTGAAGCACCCGAGGTCGAAGGAGAAGCTAAGGCTGACGAGGGAACTGACCATAATGCAGAGGTGAGGAGAGGGAATATTTGTGTGGTTTGGGGCTTATTGTGTGATGTCACAACTTACCTAGAAAAAGAATAATGTAAGGGTGAGTAATGTAAAGGTGGATATAGTTAGTAGGTTACTTTCAAAGTTTGGGATCCTGTGTTTGTTGTCTTTAGCCCTAGTCCCCATTCCAAACTCTCGCCTAACCAGGAGTGCTGCTGGAGGGTTTGGGGCCGTCTGAAAGCAGCTTAACAGCGGCTCTAACATTGTGCATACATATCTATAAACCCTGGCAGCTCCCAGAACCTCTGTCCAGCTTTGGGCTGTCTGAATTATTCAGTGTGTCTCTAAGAGTGCTTCTGAGTGTAGCCAGACTGTCATCCAGTCAAACTCACTGAGGTCTGAAGAAATTCTAATTCTAAATCCTCAGGCAGGCATTTGATAAGCTGAGCCGTGTCAGTTGGCTGAAAAATGTGTGCCTCGTATTCGTTCTTGGTTCGATACAGAAGGTCTTATGTAGCACAAGTTTACTGGTTTGAAATGTAATGGCAGTTCTGTCTCTGCCCTTCCCTCACCAACCTCTCTTAAAACCTATAACCACCAGAAAGCCTCAACTGTGGAAGTTTGGAGATTTGTTTTTCTGGACAATATCAGTTATAAAAACATAATTGCAAGAGATGTAAATCTTGTTCTGAATACAGGAAGTACCACCTACGGTAAGCGAACCTGAGCCCACTGCTGAGCCTGAATCCGAAGGCGAAGAACCAGCAGGTGAAGACGCAGAACAAGCAAATCCTGCAGCCGGGGACGAAGAACCGGTAACTCCTGCAGCCGGGGACGAAGAACCGGTAACTCCTGCAGTCGGGGACGTAGAACAAGCAACTCCTGCAGCCGGGGACGAGGAACTGGTAAATCCTGCAGGTGATGACGCAGAAGAGGCGACTGCTGCAGCCGGGGAAGCAGAGGAAGTGACTCCTGCAGCAGTAGACACAGAGGGTGAAGCGGCTGCAACAACACAAGGTAATCGATAGGAGTTTAAACACATTGAAAATAATAATGAAACTGAAATCAATATTTTGTCTGATGATGATTATTTTGACAAAAATACAATACTTTCACTTTCACTTTTTCTTATTTGGCATTCATCCTACACTGTTCTTTGCTTCCGAAATGTTCCTCTATTCACTGTTGCCGTGCAACATTTCAATCACATCTTCGCTTTTACAGCCACAGTGAAAAAAATCTTGTTTGGCATCAAAGACTTGTGAGCAGTTTCTACTTTCTGTTTTTTCTCTACTTTAATCATATGCTCCAGCGCCACCAGGGATAATATAATTTACACTGAGAAGCAACAGTGATAATAGTGTTAAGAACCAATGTTTGTCTAATCTATTGATTCAGCATGAGGCTGAGCTTAAATCAGAGGCCTCAAACTAAAACACAAGTTTTATGAATAAGGCTTCCTTCTATGTTCTGCATTTGTTCCTTGAAATTCCCCTTCAAGGTGCCACCTATTCCTTCCACACACTTTGTTAATGTGTGAAGGTGTGGCAAAATACCTGTTCAACCTCTCTGGTTTTGCTTGAAATCTGCATTAAACACTTATATATAACAAGCCATAACAGCCCTTTGTGCTATAACACTCTGGGTAAACTCATGATAAAAACATAAATCAAACACTTTCCCTCTCCTGTCCAGAGCCAGTAACTGATCCAGAGGAAAAAAATCCAGAGGGTGAGCTACCAACAGCTGATGTGGAGGAGGAAACTACTTCAAGCATTGATACAACACCCTCTCAGGTGGGGGTCAGTTAATCTTATACAATCTCATCTCATTTAAAACTACTCTCTCTCTCTCTCTCTCTCTCTCTTTATATATATATATATATATATATATATATGACATGCAGAGATATTATACCAGAGCTGCTATGCTATTAAGAAATGTGTGTATCCTTTCTACGTGTTCATATACTATATAATACATTTTTAATAGAGTGAACCTGAAGGTAAGGCCACACCAGGGTCAAATCCAGCTGTAGAAGATGGGCAGGAACAACCAACTGATCCAGTTACTGATGCGGGACAAACTGAGGGAAATGTAGTACCAGACATCAGAACAGGAGTGAAGGACCTTGTCCCTACAGGTAAGAATCTACATGTGTGGGTTCTTAATATGCAAACTCTTGTACACGCACTCATGAATTCAGGCAAATAATACTGGTTTCACCCACGTGTTCCATGTTGTTATTTCTTCTTAATTAACCTGGAACAAAGTGTCCTGAGACTGAAGGTTAGAACCAGTGAATGCTAAGACATTTTGGACAGAGTGTGTTACTTGTAGGTGTGTCTAATGGAGCAGTCCTGTGAAAAATGTGGTGTTTCAACTATGGAGGATGCAGCTTGTGGTGCTGTTGAATTGTATTGCGTTATATTGACAGGTTTTTTTTTATTATTTTGTCCATCCCATTTATGTCAGTGAGTGTAGTCTAAATAACAGAAAGACCTTTATATATAATACAATACAGTTCTAGCAACTAAGAGCACACAAATATAGAATCGATGTTAGTCTTGATAGAAATAGGCTTTTTTTAAGTCATGATAAATATCTTTTTATACTACCTTTATATCATATACAGTTTAATGTAGAAAAAGTTGACAAACATTCACATATTCCTCCTTTCTGAAAGCTGTAACTGTTTATATTTCTGTCATTACTGGAGATGTGTGTAGCCACTCTTATTCTTAAGTAAATTTTGAAAACACGAATTCCTTTTGAGATGAGGAAACTCAATTTCTGCTTTGGTAATTGTGCTAAAGTACAAAAGGTGTCTCTCCATTTTGAATCCAACCATGGCTGTGATCAAATTTACAAATTCAAATTCAAAGGTGCTTCATTGGCATGAACATTTCAGGATTCGCCTCTACTATCTGTCTCTGACATTTAAGAGATATTCTGCCAATTCAGTATCTCTGTTTAGGGACCCATAACTAATCCCCAATCTACTTTAGCCTTCCAGTGTTTTAAATAGGTTCTATACATTGTGTTATAATTTGGTTTACTCTGGTTGCTGTTTGGAGCAGCGTTGTTGTGAGATTGGTCAGATTGTGTTTGAGAAGGGGCTGTTCTCAGTCTCAGCACCGACTGACACAGGGGACTCTTTTCCGGGCTCAGCTCTTGAAATGGAGGGTGATTCTGTTCTTTGTCTTTGCCAACAGTTAAAGTGGATGGTGATACCCCTGAGGTGAATTCAGGTAAGTTTTTCTTTTTAAAATTTCATTCTTCTCTCCTCTGCCATTTTAACAATTTCCAAAACTCTCAGCCATAGTATATACACCTCCACCTCTCTGGAGCCAAATCTTGCTGCAGCTAAACAAACTACTAAGGCGCACCACAAATAATTGCTTATACGTATGACTCAGAAGTTCAAGAGCACTTCAGGACAGCATAATTAAAACCAGTTTATTTCAGTAACCGTAGTAACAATGAATCCACAAAAAGAGGCTGACCTGTTGAATTCATGCTTAGAAATGTTAATTCCTACATGGCAGCATTTTAAAACATTACAGAGCAGAAATCACTGAACAGCTTTACTTGAAGTGAAACACAGTTCATGCAGAGCGGAGCTGGAAAAGTTCTCTCAGCTCCGCTCTGCATGAACTGTGTTTGAAGTAAACTGACTTCTGACTATAGCACTACCTGTCCCTAAGCAACCATCTGAAAGTAAACAGATGTGAAGAATGTCAGTTTACAATGTTTGGTTTTTTTTCTCTTTAGAACAAGGCGACCTGAAATGAATCATACATTAGATTTCCGCTGTGTCTTCATTTGACCACTCATAATTTCTGTTATCAATCATTGAAATGTACATGTCCTGCTTCCATGAGTTATCCTGCACTATTTCGCTACAACTCCCTATTTTCTGAGCAAATTAATGGCAAACAGATGTGCTGTTCTATCAGAAAATACAAATCATTTAGGAAGGTTATGAGGTTGGGTTGTGGCCCATACATTTTTACCTCCTAAATTGTGTGTGGTAAGGTTTAAGTAAAGAAACCTCCCAATGACCTCAGTGGGATTTTATCACAATTAAAATATCCCCCTCATCTGTCATTGTATTCTCTTTCCTATTCTGTCCCCTCACTCTTGCTCTTTCCTTTCTTACCTTTACACTGATATCATTCCAGCATGTCCTATTCAAAATAGTGTTTGTCATTTCAAGAATAGTAATTTAATGGTTTTGCTGGTAATTAGCTTCTCTCTCAGTAGCGCTTTCAACTAAAAAAAAAAAAAACCACAGGGGTGCCGTTGAGAATTCAGGAAACGGTTGCTATGGAGGTTTTTTTTTTCCACGTGATAAATGGCAGGGGAACACTCTCTCATGGTGGTGACAAGAGGAAAAGAGTTGAGAAATGGATAGGAAGATAAAGAAGGGAGATAGGGAGAAAAACCATTCAGAGGTGAGCAGTGTAAAAACAAAAGGAAAAAGAGATAAGAGCAAAAGTAAAGGGAAATGACAGAGAGGAGAAAGTGGTTATGGAGGTTAATGGATCAATAAAAGAAGAAAGGCCGGACGGTAGGTAGAAATGAACACAGGAGACTCTGAGTATCGGTGCAACACTTGGCTCAAAATAAAGTCTCATTGCACACTCATCTGTGAAAAACTGTGTTTTACAATGCGAGCAGAATACTTAGTACAATTTAACGTCAGTATAGGTCACTGAATAATTATGCCTGTGAGGTTCTGTCTAATATAAATTAATTCACTGATCCTACCTCGCCCTGCCCAGCCTGAAACTGCTTTGTGCGCTGAGTCACACATGTTGAATAAGTCACTTGGGTTTTCCCCCTAGTGAATACAGAGTCAGGGTAAGGTATCGTTCCTGACAGATAATATCCTTTAATTTAAGTCAACACTAGTTCACAGGATCACCGTCACACCCTGGGAACTGGTAGTGTCTCAGGGTGCTTATTGAGGGAATTGACTTGAGGGACTGGACTAGGGAGAGCTTCTAGGATGGCTGATATTATCATTAAATAGTTTAACGTGGAATGGTGTAGAATAATGTAATAGAGGGATGTTTCTGGCAAACATCTGGAAGATATTCCTCTTGGGTGGGACGGTGAAGGAATAATATTGTATTTCTGTCACCAATGCAGGCTTTAACTTGGAGGATGCTGTGGACCCCAAGGAGGACACCCAAGTACCTCCAGGAAAGAGCCGCAGTATAGATGACAAGGGTTAGTAACTACTATTTAACTATTACATGATTTTAAAACAGCTAAGGGGCATTGTGAGGCGGAGTGGCTTATTGCTTGTATAAAACAGTTACTACATATACTTGGCAGGGTTTCACAAAAAAAAAAAAAAAACACAAAGCAATAATAAATGCAATAAGTGCAAAGAGTGGTTGCCAAGCAACACACAGATTCAACAACACAAATTGTACAATTGTTGAAGTAATGTTCAATTATGTTAGCACTCCTCTTTGCTGTTACAGGTGTGTTTTAATTGCATGGTGAAGCAAGGATATTGCTCCAGCATCTTCTCTCGTTGTAGTTTGGGCACCAGTAAGATTGCGGCGACGATTCACAGCATCAGAGCGTTTTTGTACAGTGGTGGGTGGTGTAGATTGCTTCGATGCCAGCTGCTTTACAAATCCATGGCAACACGGAGTCAAGGACATCCACCACCCCATGGGATATACCTATAACATTAAGGGAAAGAAAACAATGTTCCCATCTTGCAGTTACATTATAACCACACATGTATCTATCTATGGGATCAGCAGTATCTCCACTTACAAAATAGAGTGTTTCTACATTGTGCTTGTTTGTCCAAACCAGCAATTTCTTTCCACATGTTTTTTAACAAATACATACAAAATCCTAACAATCGATGATATAAACAGGGAGTTGATTGGATATTTGATATGATGCAATTTCTTTGGAAATACTGACATCAGAGACTTTATGAATATGTAGTCGTCTCTTATTTGAGAAGTTTTATTTCCCTTGTCTTAAATGAGCAACGCAGCTAAATGAACCCATAGATATTTATGCACAGAGCTGAGATGGGCTAATCTCACCTTTCGGCCTAAAAAAGCTTTTTATATATTTCTCCTGCTCTTTTACCATTTCTGTTGAAAGTGGCATCAAGTCTTATTTCTTAGGACATTAACACTGACTTATGAACAATGGCATCAAATCCTGAGGCAGGCCATCTTTACACACCTGGTGCACTGGCTGTAGTCTGACAGCAAAACTACAAAGTATTACCTTTACCAGATGGTTTGTAGCACTTGACACCTTAAAGACTGTGACTTGTAAACTGTGTTTTGAGACATTCTTTCTGGTAGATCTCTATACTGCGAGCATGCCATTCTAATTTAATGAGCTTTGTTCCCATGACAAGAGACTGAATTTACTTGTTTTACCTCCTGGGTTAAGAAACTTTAATCACTAGCCACAAGGTAATTTGACAGGAGCAAGAGATTTTCCTTAGGCAGCTCCTCTCAGCGTTCACAATTTACTCCCCATTTGAAAGCTGATTCATTATGCTGGTATAATCATTATAATCTAGTGAAAGGCGCTCTTCTTTAGTGCTCTGTTATTAGCGGCTTTGTCAAGTTGAAGCAGGTAGAGGGCAGCCATGATGGCACAGGCGTATACAGACAAGCAGCATAGAGGAAGATAACAGAGCTGTTTGCATATAGATTAAATCAAAGCTATACGATCCCTCTGATATTATAAAAGCACCTCTGTGAGTTTACAGAAGGGACACTTCATGCAGAGGTATATGTGTGTGTGTTTCCAGACCGGTTAGGACAGAAACTCTACACCTCTAAAAACCTCCGAGGGCTAAAGTACCTCAAAGAGAATAATCTTGCTCCTTACGTTTTCTTCTCTGTCACAATACTTAACATACGTCAACACATTTATATGATAACATCTTTTCTCTGCGTGCTCTTTTAATCACTTCTCTTTCTTTCTTTCTCTCTTCAGCCCATGTTGCCGGCGCCGCAGGAGATGGTAAGGCTTTTTTTGTGTTCATGGTCAAACCTTGCAAAAATAATCACATCATGCCATTTTCATTCCAAATCACACAAATCTGAATTGGATTCAGAAATAACTTTGCAGCGACGGCTCTGATAGTAGAGCTTATGTAGCCCTGAAAACTGTTGAAACACACAGGATATTACTGGCATGCCTCTGACAATAAAAACAGGATAGAAGACTCAAGGCAAAATGCCTCTCCCCTTCTGTTTTATTTAAAACAATGTTCGGACCTGGCCTTTAAGTATTTTACCATGAATTCTCAGGTGTAGTCACGCTACATCTGTTGTCTGAAGCTCTTTCACACTGGAAGTAACTTCTGTTCCTGTTCAAACTGGAAATAAGATACAATAGAACAACAGGTGCATGTTTATGCCTGTTTGAATAAACGGTTCCGTGTCCCATGTTGCTAATAGTATTTGTGTGTTCTCTGTTCTATACAGCAAACGAACCTCAGGCCCAAGGTGAGTTATCATTCTTCTCTTTTTTGTTTTGGACACATACACCACTACCCACATTCTCCACCCATTTCCCCCATTGTCTTATGTTATGCAATGAGCCCTAGGCAGGTGTGTTGTTGCTGCAAGACATTTTCAATATATTTTTTTTTAAATCTTTAACTTTTTTTTGAACGTCAGTGAGTGTATTTGCATAATTCAGGCAATTGAGGCAAATGGTGATGGCTGTACCTTTTACTGAGACGTGGTTAAAAGGTTTGACTCAGCAGTGCTGAAATTTCTATTCAAACCTAAAATTGTGTATGATAGGAAAGGCTAGTAGGGCTTGGAGATACGGAGAGATGATATTGCTAATTTTAACTGTTATCACTGCATCCGTGTAAGTATTAATGGATCAGTTTGTCTAATTAATCACACAATGTGATGACAGGAAGTCAATTTGAAAGTGTAACTTTTTCAAAAACCATTCCAATGACATCGTACTTCACGAAAAATTGTATCTCATGATACAATTATAGTAGCATACAGTAGATAAGTGATAAATGTTGATATTCGACCACGCTCTGCTGTGGCTATCAGGTGTTTTATTTGACCCCTGACTTACTGCAGCCATGTAACATACAGTAATGTGATAAGGGTTGTGGCTGCTGACCACGTAGATTCCCGTAGGTTCCCATAAATATCTGTTTCCACAGTGCATCTTGTCTGTCAGTTGATCTCTCTGTGTTTGTGTTTGTGTTTGTGTTTGTGTTTGTGTTTGTGTGTGTGTGTGTGTGTGTGTGTGTGTGTGTGTGTGTGTGTGTGTGTGTGTGTGTGTGTGTGTGTGTGTTTGGGCAGACTTTTCACGCCACTTTTTGTGTTGTGTGTTCTGCATTTGTGCATGTGCACGTTCATACATGTCTGTCTGCACCCACCTTTACTTCCTCTCACTGAATCACTACATTCTTCCTGTTTATTCCACTTCATTTCAGTGACTCATTCCCCTTTTTTTTTTTAAATTCACCTTGAGTCACACGAGACTGATGCCACTCCCTTGCTTTTCTCATCTGTAATTTTGTTTATGGCTCGATATACTGTACTTTTTCATTCTTTTTTCCTCAGTTGCTGACTCACCCATTACACCCCATCTCCTCTCCATCTCCCTCTCTATTGTCACTTCAGCATATCCCACCATTATTACTCTGTGTTGACTGAAGCCACTGCAGGAACAATAAAGAGATAGTTTTTAGAAGAGATGTAAAGGAAAACAATTATGAAGGGCACATGTTGAGTATATAATCAAGTGACATTTGCTCTGCTTCATAATCTAGTCTGTATTCTTCTCCTCTACCTCCTTCATTTAGAGTAAATTCAGAAGGTTCTAGCGCCATAAAATAAACATTATATAACATCATTTTGCCCCAGATGACCAATCATCACACCTTGAATACTGCACATAGCACATGTTGTGTAGCCTAGTGGAGGTGCTTCTGTACATCTGCTATTTCATGTATTAAATCTTAATTTTTTTTCAGTAAGAACAAAGAATTATAATATAATAAGTAGCTTGATTAAATGTCTTTGCTCCAGAATTACTTGTTAATTACAATAGTAGAAAGCAAACAATTACATTTACTCATAAACAGAGTCATTTTGTGATATTTGTTCTACTTTTACTTATAATGGAGTATGTTTAATAATGATAATAATAATGCATTATATTTATAAGCACCTTTCAAAGCACTCAGGGACACCTTACAACACACAGTGCTGTGAACTGAATAAGATTTGTCAATAATGTGCTGATCATCATGGCTTTGCAGGCTGTCTGCGTTTGCTTTCTGTGCCTTCAATAGACTGTGAAATGTATTTGCAGTATGCTATGACACAGCACAAAAACTATTCAGATAGTTGTTGTCATAGTAACTGGGTTACAGGTGCAGACAGATTTATGCTGTCACTGTGAATGCTTTCTTTTAGTGGTCTAAATTATGGGATAGACGAGTGAAAAGGGATCATCACTCTCTCTATCTCTCTCCCACTCTCTTAAACACACACACACACACAGAGAGAGAGCGCGAGAGAGAGAGGCTTACACACATGTCACTGAGCTTCACTGGTGAATTGTCATTCATTATTTCAACTGCAAAATGGCACCCTGTGGTGACACTGAACATTACAATCTCCGTACGCCTGTGTTACACTGAAAAACATTCAACACAGTGCAGTCACATCTGTATAATAAAGCATACTCAAACTAATATATTTAGAGTTCAAATGGTATTCTCACATGATATTGCCAAGGTTGACTTTGCACTGGTATCAAGTATCTTTTTTTGTCCTGTTTCTTTGTGTCCTGCAGAAGGCAGCTCCAGCTCTTTAGCAGGCATCCTCAGTACAGTTGGTGTGGCTCTTGTGGGAGCAGTTACTGGATACTTCACCTATCAGAAGAAGAAACTCTGCTTCAAAAATAGACAGGGTAACTATTTTGCTGATTTCTTACTAACCAAAGAAAAGAACACACCACCCTGCTGTACACAGGGCTTAATATTTGACTAGACTATGCAGAACATACACAAAAAATTCCTCCAAAACCCAGTTACAATGAACTGCAAGCCAAGGTTTTGTTGTTTTATTGCTATTTGTCACCCGCATTATAAGAGCAGTCAAGCAGCACTTTCAAAGGTTGTCACACCTTGAGCCTAATGTCGTTTAATCAACTTGCGTCAACCCATATCAAAACAACATTCTTAAAGAGTTAGTCATGCAGGGTGACTGCTGTATACAGATAACTTGAATCGTAGCAGAATCTCAGCCTTTAATCAAGGAATGAACAACTGTAACACATTTCTTTAGTGTGTGTGTGTGTGTGTGTGTGTGTGTGTGTGTGTGTGTTTTAAGTTTTGGAGGTCAGCAATCCTTCTTTGAGACATAGCAGACTCAGCTGCTTTATCCCTTAGAAAGTGTTGTCAGCTCCAGTGAACTGACACACACCCTGCATAGCAATACTGCTAATTCAGCATTGTTGTCATTTACAGTCAACATGAACAACAGGCCATTCAGCTTTTCAGTGATTTAAGGCAAATGTCAGAGTAGGAATAAGGGTCATACTGTGAATATCACTTGTAATAGCTAGTATTTATCATTGTTCTAAATTTGAATAAACATCTCTTTTTTTCTTATTCCTCTGTGGATTTCTCAGACAGCTCAGTCTCTATTAATGAAAATATATCATTCTCCCTCAGATGAAATCTAGAGAATGAGGATTGTAATTGGTAAAGTCATCGGCATGTACAGCCTGGAGTTGCTCCACTGGCGACACATGGGAAGTTCTGACTGCACGGATATGAATAATTTTGCACGTTTACACCAGAAAAAATGAAACAAATTTTCATGGTGTTGATAATAAGCAATTAGAGCCGAGAAATATTAACATCCTCAGAAACTCCCGCTGGGTGTTCTCACTGTCATACTTAATTTATGGTCAGTGGAGCTGTATAGTTTCACAATTATAGAAGAGGGATAAATCCCTCTTTGTCAAATTTGCCAGAGGGGACACCATAAAGTCATCTATGCTAATGAGTAGGAAAAGAAGTTAATTAGCTAAATGCTCGCGAAATTCAAATTTACACGTGAAGCCTTGTCTGCTTCGCTTTGTCTGTCTGTGTTTTTGGATATAACTGACTCCCCGTCTCTGTGACTAGAAGCCGATCCAGAGGCTGCACGCAAAGCTGATGCAGCAGAGGCCCAGTCAGATCCCCAGGGTATGACACAGACACACATAACACATAAAAACACATGAAATACATTACATGTACATTGATTTGACCTTTGCACTGTTTTTTTGTTTTTGTTTTTTTGTTCCTTTTTGCAGTCCTTAGCAACCTGCTGAACTCATCCTAGACCAGCGATGATCCCATGACTGTCTGGACCAACTACAGTCAAGCAAAGTGGCAATCTCACTGTTAGGCTCTATCCTGCATAGAGCTAAATTACTGTGAGGCCCAGAGTAGGGCTGTGTGTGTATCTGTCTTGATTGTGTGTGTGTGTGTGTGTGTGTGTGTGTGTGTGTGTGT